CAGCAGATTCTGGATGCAAAGGTTCTGGAGTTTACGGACCTGAACTCTGCAGGATGTCGGTGAGAGCTTAAAACACGATAAACACGACTTAAAACTCCTGAATCTGGAAAAGAACGTGAATAAAAAGCTGTCACACGTTACTGACTGAACACAAATCACACAATCACTGATTTATTTCTCTGTTTTTAAAGGTAATGACGTATAAAAACAAAATAAAATAAAATAAAATAACCGCTGCAGGGCCGCGTTTACGTCAAAATCGACTAAGTGTTTGGCTTTTCTATGAATCCCGCTGACAGAAACATGATTTAATGCATGTTTTTTTTATCCAGACACGACAACGTTGGAGGTTTATGTAGAAGCGCAGGTGGTGAATCCGGCCGTAAATCTGCCGACGCTGTCGGTGGAGGCAGCTGAAGAACAGCAGCCCCGAGCAGGAGAAACGTAAGATGATCAGAAAGCGAAGCATAAAAACGACAAAACAGGAAGTTATCGCTCTGAGATGTCAGGTTTTAAAAACCAGCAGGCCTCAGTTTAAATGTTTTATGATTTGAACATCTGACGGTTTGTTGTCGCTGCTGTTCGTCGTCAGACAATAATAATATGATCTGGATCTAAATAGAGTAATTAAAAAATCCAACATCGGTAGTTGAAGAAATGCGTGAAAATCAGTCGTCTGAGTGTTTTAAGCAGTTAAAAGTTACGTTTCTTTGATTATTTATTGTACAAAAACATGTCTAACAGGTGTAATTAGCGTGTGCAGCCTTCATCTCAGTGCCTTCAGGTGGTGACAGAATCTGAGGCTCCACATGACACCGTTATTTAAAATATTTTTAATTTTCTGCCGAAGTTCAGCCCAATAGTCCCTGAATTTTTGTAACGTGACTCTCAGGTGCAGCTCAGTCACTCGTAGCTCTTTGGTTGTGTTGAGGAACCCAGAATTTTTTGTTTTTTGCAGATTCTGGATCCTGCAAAGGATTTATTTTTTTTTGGTTTTTTAGGCAGGCGTTTTGGATTAAGGGGTTAGTTGTTTTTTGGTTGGGTTTGGTTTCGTTTTCTTGTTCAGTTCAGGATTTTTTAATTTTTTTTTTTTTTTCCGGTTCCGGTTATTTTTTTTATTTGTTTTTATTAGTATTTTAGTGTAATTAGTCACTACATCGTTAGAAATATGTGTGAATCAGACTGTAGCTCTCTTCTGTCTTTAAGGAAATGTGGAAACTTTCTGGTCGGGTCAAAGCAGCGACTCTGAAAGTCGAAGGTCATCAAACCTCCTCATGACCTGACATGCTTCTTCTTCTTGTTCTTGTTCTTGTTCTTGTTCTTCTTCTTCTTCTTGTTCTTCTTCTTCTTCTTCTCCTCCTCTGAGCCTGCAGTAAAACAGCACCGTGGACAGTTTCAGTGGTCAATGAGCGCCCTCTGCTGGCGGCTCAGGGACGTTTTTAATCCCCTGAAATACACAGTGTTTGACATGTTTGTGTTTTATTGTTATTTAGACATTTCACATCCGTCTAGAGTTAAACTCTGCTTCTAGATTCTGACTGTGATGATTCGCTGCTGCTGCTTCACGGACGTTTGTTGTTTGTTGGGTGAAGTCATCAGGATGCAGACGTTCACTCTGGACAACGTTTACGTCATGTTGGACAAAGTTTTATTATATTTTATTATATTTACATTTTAAAGACGTTTAAGTTATTTTAGACAATGCATGAGTCACGTTGGACAAGTTTAAGTCATTCTGAGGAACGTTTGAGTCATTTTAGGAAATGTTTGAGCCATCGGGGACAAAGTTTCAGTTGTTTGGGACAATATGTGAGTCATGTTGGACACATTTTAAGTCATGGTTTGCAAAGTTTGAGTCATCGTTCCAGACATTCAGGACAATGTCTGAGTCATTTTAGGCAACGTGTGATTAATTTTTAGCAAAGATTGAGTCATTTTGGAAAAAGTTTGAATAATTTTAGACCAAGTTTGGAGCCTTTTAAAGACAATGTTTGAGACATTTGGGACAACGTTTGAGTCATTTGGGTCAAGTTTGAATAATTTTTAGCAAAGTTACAGTCATTTTGACAAAGATTGAGTTATTTTAAACAAAGTTTGGAGCATTTTAAAGACATCTAAGTCATTTTGGGTAATGTTTGAGTCGATTTAGACAATGTTTGAGACATTTAAGACACAATTTTAGTCACTTTGGACAATGATTGAGTCATTTTGGACAACGTTTCAGCCCTATTGGACAAGTTTTAATGTGCTGGTGGAAGAATAAGGGGGAAAACTTTGCTGATGTACAATAAAGAAAACATCTAAATACAGCAACAGAAACAACAACATGTCAGTCAGGTGGACTCTTATCAGGCCATATGATTGGCTGTTGATGATCCAGGGAGGCGTCACGCTTAGAGTTTGTTCAAGCGTCTGATCAGATTCATTTAACCATCAAACATTCAGTCGATCAGTTTTCCTCTTGTTATTGATTAAGCGTCCATCAGCGTTGGTGTCGCTGTTGTTTCCTCAGCCGGCTGCACCTCCGGACGTCTGAGGTTAAACCAGTTACTCTGCTGCTGTCACCAGGAGGAGGAGATCCCTGATTAGATCCTCTTCTTCTTAGAAAGAGGATTTCTTCTCAGAGCTTCACTTCTGGTGCAAAGACACAACTTTCATTTAAGTGTTGAAGATTCATGAATTAGAGACGAAACTTCCACACTCTGTTAGTTTTCCTCCTTCATCCTTCAGTTAAACCGCAACGTGTTGCCAGAACACGCAACAGAACTACGAGCAGCAACTGCAGCAACACGTCGCCTCAACAGACAACCAGAAATCCGTTTGGTGTTTATTCTCCTGAAGATTTAATTCTAGTAATTGCTCTCCTTTATGAAGCGCGTCTTTCTCCTCCTCAGACATTTAAGGAAAGATTTATTTGATTAATTTATTTGTTTTTTTTTAAAGACCAAAATGTAAAGAATCAATCAAATATAATCAAAACACGTCAAACATTTAGAACAAATGTGAGAAAACTTTTGCCTTTTGCTGATGGTACTTTTATACTTTTTTATTCTCATGTAGAGTTTTGGTCACAAAATGTAAAAATATCAGGAGTTTAAAAGATTCATTTTGGGACCAGAGATGGTTTGTTTTCATTTGGTTTGGAGTTGTTCCGGTTGTAGACAGCAGGGGGCAGCACCTCACTACAAAACACATGATGAACCCCTGAGATGTTTATGTTTAAAGTAAGTTGGAGTAAAAAATACAAGATTAAAAGATAATAAGAATCAAAAGCCAAGTACTGTGAATTCGTACTTGATGCGGTACTCAAGTAAAAGTATTTAGTTACATTCCAGCATCGTCTGAGGACACGTCTGTTGTGTGTTTATTTTATTTATTAATATTAATAAAGGATTTAATGGGAATACACATCAGTTTAATGAGCCACGTTAGTTTTACTTTCATTATATTTTCTCATCATGAAGCACTTTGTAGCTTTGTTTTGTAAAAACAGTTTATCAAGTTTATTATTATCAGAGGTGAAAGTAATTTTTTTTTTTAATTTAACATTTATTTAACCAGGAAAGACCCAGTGAGATTAAAAACCTCTTTTACAAGGGCCTCGATAGATAACGGTGAGAGGCCAAATTACAAAAATAAATCAATGAAAGAATAATGAAATAAAAAGAAGAATAAATAAAATGAAAAATAAATAATGAGGCAATTTTAATCAAAAATGAATCCATAAAAGAAAAGGCTAAAAAAGAAAAAGTAGAAATATAAAGACAAATAAAGAAAATAATTAAAATTATATATTTTTTTGTATTTTTTTATTATTTTTAAAATTTTTCAATGTCGCTTTGAAAGCAAAGGAAATACATTATAAATAAAAAATAAACTTAAAAAAATGAAAAACAAAATGCATTTAAAATTTGAAAATAAAAAAAATAAAATAAAAAAAAAAGAATATATATAAACTAAAAAGTAATAACGTTGAGGCTGCAACTAGTGATGATTTTCCAGATTATTTATCTCATTTGGTCGATAAAATGTTGATAAAATGACCCTCAGGTCACTTCAATCCAACCAACAATCTAAATTACAGCAAAAAAATGCAACGAAAAATCCGTCTTTGTAGCTGCAATGAGTTGATTTTGGTTATATTTGTTCTGAAAAATAGCTTTGATGGTAAATTAATTTTCAAAATGAATCAGATTTATTCGTCTCAATCAGCACGTTTTGTTGTGAAATCAGTTCTCAGGTCAGATTGAAACTAAAACGTCTCCTCTGAGAAGCTAAAGTCAGTAAATGTGGTTGATTTTTGCAGGAAAAAATACTTTGATGATGAATTAATGACCCAAAAAAATTAAAGATTTACTGGTCTTGATGTTTCATTAACAGTCAGTTTGGAGACTTTTTAGAAGCTCGTCTCCTTAAAACTATAAAACAATAATATTCAGGCTGCAGCTGGAGATGATTTCTGTCATTAACTCATCAGAACAGCTGATCAGGGTTCAGCAGAAGAGACGAGTCTATTTGTGACTTTAACAGATCAGGAGGATCTTCCTGATTATTTCTCTTTTTTAATAAACTGTTAGAAAGTGATGAGAAATGACATTTTCCAATCATTTTCAACCTAAACGTTTCCTTTCAGGCTCCATGTTGGTGATTTTTGTGCGTAAACAACAACTTTAACGCTGAATGAATGAATCCTCTGAACCGACGTGACTCGATGCTGAAGCTTCCTGCAGCAGAGCTTCAGTCCCTCCTGCCTCCTGTAGATGGCAGCAGCAGCAGCAGCAGCTCCTCTGGATGTGAAGCAGCTCCACTAATCTGCGCTCCGCATTTCATCCGGAGGACTTCAGCTCCAACTGCGTGTCGGTGAAGCCGCGGAGTCCTGGTCCCGTGTTCTCCTGCGTTTCCTGTGAGTTTAGCGTCCAGGCGGCAGCACCGAGGCTCGTTCCGCTGCTCCTCTGCTCCGACAGTCCGGGTGGCGCCTCCTCCTCCTCCTCCGACAGCCGCCGCCGCTTCATTGTCGCTGACAGTCGGATTACTGGTGCCGGCGGCCGCCTGCTCCTCAGCCTCCTCCTCCTCCTCCTCCTCCTCCACGATGCGGGCTCCAACTAAGGATTTATAATTTCCTCCTGCGCCGGTCCTTCCTGCTCCTCCTCTGCACGGTAAGACGACCCTTCCTTCGCTCTCAGCCATGTGCGCGGAGCTTTTGTGCGCTCCGCGGGGCGCCGAGCGGCTCCGGCGGCGGACGCGCGGCGCAACTTCGGGGGGAAGCTGCGGCTCTCCGGCACCGGGACGCGGCGGCTCGGAGACGATGTGCAGCCACTTGGTCGGGTGCACGGTGTCGCTCCTGCGTGCTCGGAGGAGACGTTAGAGTCTGTGCGCAACGAGCAGCTTGTTGTTGTTTTTAATCGCTATAATTATGTAGAAATGAATCTCGGAGCGTGTTTCTGTGGAGTCACCGCCGCTCCGGGAAGCATCGCTCCGGGCTGCGACCCCCTCCTCAGATCCGGGGACATATGGCTGCTGTGGCCCCGGGCTCACAGATGTTCCATCAGCAGACACGCTGGAGCTCCTGTGGTCCTGGCTCACAACGCTGTGAGTGTGTGCGTGCGTGCACGGTGTGCGTGTGCGCGGCGCTCGTGTCATTACAGGAGTGTGTGCTCCGGTAATTGGTGAGGTCTGATCTCCTCGTGCTGTCACTGGAGGACAGGAGGTAATGTGAGCTGAGCAGATCCAGAGAGAAGGAGCAGCTGAAGGTTTGTTCACCAGGAGCTGTGAGTCTGCAGCAGGTTCTACAAGCTGGTGGCCTTCAAATGATGAAAAAGTCACGCTGAGGCTGAGACCAGAGCAGGTTGTCTCCATTATTTTACTCACTGGGTCGATAAAATGTCAGAAAACGATGAGAGATTGCATCAAAAAGTCTGAGACTGTGGTTTTTGCTGCTGACTTCAGATCAGATTTCAGCCAAAAAGCTCCTTTAAGAAGCTTAAACGAGGCCGATTTTGGCATTTTTGTGTTCGTGTGGATGTTAAAGCAGCAACACGAGGAGTCGGTTTGGAGAATTTCAGACCTTTAACCTGTAAAATACTCACATCAGGACGGATTCTCACATCTACGTCCTCATTTAGTCGCTCAGATGTTAGAAAATGATGAAAAGCTTCAGTGTGGAGTTCTGCTGTCAGGAGCTGATTTTGGTTGTTTTTGCACCATTACATCATGAATAACTGAGTCAGCAGGACTTTATTGATCCTGTCGTTGGATCAGGTTACAACTAAAAAGTCCTTCAAGACGCTGAAACGAGTCGGTTTTAGAGACATTTGCTTCAAAAATTTGTCATTAATCATCAAAATCATCAGTTTTTATTCACCTGAACAGTCGGTTTGGAGACTTTTAGAAGCCTGTAGCCTCAAAACGATCAAATAATCACATTTAAGCTGCAGCTAGAAGTGATTTTCAGGATTATTTTACTCATTTAGTCGTTAAATGTTAAAAAAAAAAAAAAGAAAGAAAAATTGACCTTTTAAGTAACTCTAATGCACACAGCAGTTTAAAAAATCCCTTTTTAGAGCTGAAACCATCGACGTTGTTGATTTTTGCAACTTAAATGATGAATTATTTAACAGAACCGACATCTTGTATTGATCCGGTGCTGCTGCTGCTGGATCGGATTTCAACCAGAAGTCTCGTCTTTGAAACCAAGTTGGTTTTGAAGATTTTAATTTTTTTTGCTATAATAATAAAATTAAAAATCGAAATCATCAAAACTGAAGCTTTTGGTTGTTAAACAGTCGACTGGAGGCTTTAAACATGTAAAATAATCACTTTCAGGCTGCTGCTAACGAGGATTTGTCGGATTATTTCTCTGATTTAGTCGATAAAATGTTTGAAAAATGGTGAAAAATGACAGTTTCAAGCAACTTTCATGTAAAATGCAGCCAAAAACTATTAAATAATTACATGCAGGATGAATAATTGATGAAGTGATTAAATCATTAATGAGGATTTTTCCTGATTATGTTTCTCATTTAGCCGCTTTAGTTCAAACTGCATCCAAGAGAAAAACCCACATACGTCAATGACAGTGACCCAAATAACGAATTAATTATCGGAATCTGCTCGACTTCATTGATCCTGTTGCTACGGCAGCCGGCTAAACAGAATAAACAATTAAAATGGTGACGATCAGGATGCAGCGAGTTTTTAATTTACTTTTCTGAAAAATAATTAAAAAACCAACAAGATTTCAAGAAAAAAGTCTCTTTGAGGAGCTGAGACGAGTCAAATTTGGTGATTTTTGCACAAAAACTGACAATAATATGAATTAATTATCCAAGATAACGAGATTTATTCTCCTCCATGTTGCAGCAGAAACTAAAACATGCAAGTTTTTCTAAAACTTAAAAAAAAAAACAGAAACTATAAAGATAATTAACCAAATAACATCAGATGTAGAAAGATGTTCCACCATCAGATGTAGAAAGATGTTCCTCCATCATGTAGAAAGATGTTCCACCATCAGATGTAGAAAGATGTTCCACCATCAGATGTAGAAAGATGTTCCTCCATCATGTAGAAAGATGTTCCACCATCATGTAGAAAGATGTTCCACCATCAGTAGAAAGATGTTCCTCCATCATGTAGAAAGATGTTCCACCATCATGTAGAAAGATGTTCCACCATCATGTAGAAAGATGTTCCACCATCATGCAGAAAGATGT